TTTTCGTCATTGGCTATGGACTAGCTCAATACTAAATCTCTGCGTGCCCTTGGTACGTAGAAATGATCCCGGATGCAATTCAACTGTAATAATGAACACGTTCAATAGGCTTAAAGATACAAATCAAAGCGTTAGGGAGCAATTCAATTGCACTATGGATGCGATCAATCGGAAAAGTGTAGGGACCCTATCGATCGATATTTGCTGTTTATCGGAAACGCGTCTGCAAGATTTGAGCTCCGTGCTCGTCCTGCGATCCTCCACATGCTACATTGGCGGCACGTTCTCTTTGCTTTCTTCTGGTGGTGAAGCAGCTTCAGATGCCGGTAAAGGCGGTATGGGCATTATTTCGAATCCCTGGACTTCAAAGTCGCGAGAAGAGAAGCGACTTATGCCCCCACAGACTGTTGCACTGCTTCGGTGAAATATGATTTCTAGCACTTAACACTTTTCATCGTTACAGAAAAAGTACGGATACTGTGTTAGTTGCTGGCTATCTTAAAGCCGAAGCTGAAAATTGTCCTCCTGTGAGCTTCAGCTGGGCGGCCAACCTGGTGTAGGCTCACGTAGTGATAACTGTGAGCTATTGCTACACCTGTGTGAAGAGGCTCCTCTCTTGCCTGCGATCACTAACGGTGGGCCCCACACCCGCAAAAATAGTATCGGGCTCCTACCAGCCCCGGAACAGCCATGCACGCAGATCGATCACATTGCTATCAGTTACCGCTGGAAAAGCTGCGTTCAAAATTGTTGCGTGATTTGTAGTACGAAGGTGGACTCCGATCACGTGCTTGGGTGAGCCGACCTACGGGTACGTTTTGGCGGACGTCCGCAACGACTCTCTGACCACATAGACACCAGTCAGCTGTCGAAGCCATGTGTTCTGAATGCGTATCAAAGTGCGCTGGCATCCTGGCTGAGTAAGCGCCCGCTGGACACTGTTGAAGATCAATGGTCGCATATGCGCCAGATGTTACCATCAGGAGACGTGTGATTATGTGACAAATCAAACTGCCAATCTGAACGTTGGGTCTTTAAACAGTCACTAGGACTTCTGGATGCTTGCCAACCTATTCCGGCTGCAAGCGAACACCATGAGACTCGCAAATATCTCAGAGTAAAGCTGAGTGCTTGCTTGAAGGAAGGCCAGGAAGCCAGGTGGAATCATCGTGCGTCGGAGCTGAAAACAGCCAACAATTTTGGTAATCGTCATAAATTATTTCGTCTTATACGTGAACTGGGCAGCAGCAGAATTGGCGTTAGTGAGAATATATGCGACGAGAGTGGCGAGATAATCTACAGCTTGTGAAAATGCCAGGAGCTTTATGCGAAACACTTCGAAACGCAGTTTAATCAACCTGACTTTTCAATTGCTTTTTCCTGCATTTCTTGCTTTTCTTACTGGGTCGTCTTCTAGATTCGTCCTCAAGTACCGCAGTCGAATGTGATATCACACTGTTGTAATTAAATAAGTCCGAACGGACATAGAGATTCCCCACAGACCTATTCGAATTCGGGGAACCTGCTCCTGCGCATGATTTGCGCCGTTTAATAGTGAAGGTTGGGTAGCAGGCGACTTTCCCAACATACTGCAACCGATCCGTTCTAGTCCTGGTTTTCTGGGGATCTCCCCATTCGTAATGCGGCGATCATATAGAAACCAGTCTGGTAGCAATTGCCACTAAATTGCTTGCGTTTGTTGTTTTCCACAGACTGACCGGCACGCTTGAGCCTGATTTGTGAGGAGCAAGTCGAGTTTTGTCGAGATCGAAGCTGCATTAATCAAAACATCACTTTCTGTCAAGTTTTAACACTGCCATGTTTATTGACGTCCCACTGTAGGCTTGTTTCTCGATGTAAAAGGTGCCTGCGATTCGCTGAGTCGACGCGCCCTTTGGAACTGTCTGTTGAGGAAAGGTGTGCCTGATAAATATGTAACTATTATGCGGCCACTGTACGCACAACTCTCCGGCAAAGTGAGGGCATACGGCAAGTTGTTGCCGACCCTCAATATCTCAAGCTGCATATGACAAGAACGCCAGCAGTCACCTTTCCTCTTTTACTTCGCCATTGACGAATTCATGGAGGTCGCGTTTACTGGACAAGACTTAGAAGATGTGGAGCTGCTCCCAGGTGGACGACTTCTTTACTTGGAGTATGCAGATAACATTGCCCACATCTGTGACAGCTCCCAAACTTGTAAAGCAGCACTGGACATAATAGCGTGGCAGTCAGTCGCTTTTGGATTTGCATTTCTTTCTCGAAATTCAAAGTCGTTCAGCAAGATTGGAATGGACCCATCCCTGCGCTGACCCCTGTTGGTGATCAGCAAGAAGTCGTTCAAGAATTCCAGTACCTAAACAGTTATATTGGCGCCCGTGGGATCGGAGATGTGGTCACGAACCGGATAGCAAAATCTCGAAATGTCTCTGTCTAACTCCGCCATCTGTGGCGTCGACGCGACATTAGTCTCGCCCTAAAGAACAGAGTTCACAATACAACCGTTCCTTCAAGCTTCAAATACTGTTGTGAAGGCGCAGCAGGTAGACAGATATTAAGGGGATACCTACGTTCGACCATAGCTGCTTACTCGGCTTAGCTCATGTCTGCTGGAAAGACTGCGTGAGCAATGAATGTGTTCAGCCTCGTGTATTTGGCACAGGAAGAGCTAGTGAACCGCTCAGCAAGATTATGTCACGAAGCAAGCTCCGATGGCTGAACCAAGTGTGGATTATGCCAGTACACCGATTTCCGCGGCGTGCGATTTTGCGCGTCCGGAGTCTGGATAGAGAAGGAGGTGGGGAGACCAAGCAATGACTTGGTCGAGAGGAATGAAGACCCTCACTTCGAAGTTGGTGCCGGTTTGTATCCCCCGACTGCGGGGCTGGGGTCCCAAGGATGGTGAACACGTTTTAGTGGATGCAGTTGCTGACACAGCGCAGAGTCGGCTCCAGTGGCATTGGTGTTATACGTTTCCTTGTCCATCCACCTCTCCTTTAATTCCTTCATGTTATGATCCCATTCCTAATGCACTGTATGATATTTAGGATTTTATTTCTCGTTTATTTAACATTTTATTCCGTATTTTTCAGTATCGTATCTGTTTATATTGCAGCGCATTACTTGAGGTGTGTTACCCCCCATCAGATAACTTGTATTGATGATGATGATGCTGAAACATGTTGCTCGATACTTTTAATCCAAATGGTATACGTACCAATCCGAATCACTCCAACGATGTGGCGAAAGTTGTGAGATAGCTGGATTCCCAGTCCACCACGACATGCTAAATTGCGGAAGCTAGATTGACCTCCATGAATAACCTTGCTTACAATAGTATTTGCAATATATTGACCAGCGTCGGCAGGCTGTAAAATGCTCTTCGAACAGCGGTGTTACTTGATTTTGGAGCAATAGGCCCTACTGAATCGAAATTCTTAGTGTAAATTGTTAACCGGCTAACCCGAGCTGTCGGTTCGTCCACAGTTCATCTAGGCGCTTCGGTTCCTGAGAAAATTTTACGCGAAACACTATAGGCACCTTCCTAGTCGGTAGTACTACTGGCATGGCGCACTTGTTTAACGAAAGATGTGCGGACCCATCAAAACTACATAAGGCTTCATCAAACATGCTAAGGTAGCGATCCATGATATCTGTGGCTAATTGACACAAATTCACAAAGCGTTCATAGTTAAACGAAATAAAACCGAGTTTCTGGATGGAATCAAGGCCAAGGATGTGCACGAAGCCTCCACGATAATGTCGATGTGATATCCAGTTCTGTCAATAAGATTGTTGACTTCCAGTGTGACGCTAACCTTGGGATGACATTTAGAGCCACTCCACAACTTTAGGCACTGTTTTTCCTTGCCTCGTCGCACTCCAGAGCAGTATTTCCCCGACAAGATTTTAACTGTGGCTTCTGTGCCAAATTGGAAAATACAGGTCACTTTACGACAAGCAGCTTTGCTTAGACGTTGTTTATATCAATCAGACGTTACAAATTTTTAAAGAAGAGCTCCAGAGTAACATGCGAATCGTCACAGTCGACCGAATACTATATTTTTGAGAGATAACATCGTGAAAGTGTTTTTTCTTCGAGTACTTCATGTGTGTCTTTCCCCAGTCTAGGAAACTATCATTTCGAGGATGACCGTGACTGTGGTGACTACGGCCATAGTACTGACAATCTGGTTCCCGCCCACGCGTGGATCGCGGCACATCAAAGAGGCGCATTTGTCATCAAAATTGTGACTTAAACCTTGTGAAAATGGGACGCGCTTGCAATTTCACTATTACAAATGTTAATGCAGTACCGTAACGATAGGTTTCGTTGTTGCGTCAACCTGCGAGTAATGTTCTCGTCTTGTATGTCAAGTATAATTCGATCTCTTCGCAAGGAATCATGTAGGCATTCGCAAAATTTACACGTGCTTGCCAATGTTTTCGTCTCGGTGACGTATCTATAGAACTGTTAAATAGAGAAGTGGTTTCGACCAAAAATAAATTATCGTTGGTAATTTTATTTGAAGATCTGACATTCAGTTTAGCAGCACTCCCTAGAATTTTCCCTTAAATTGTCCGGTTGCGGGCCAGCTACCTTTAATTTTTCTACCATGAAACACAGCTTCATTGCCGAAAGTTTCTAGCTTCTTAAAAGTTTGCTTATCCGGGCTGGTTAGTAGTTCTACTTCGTTTACTTCTCATGAGACGAGGTAAATATAAAAATATGTTGAAAAAACCAACCCATTACAGAATTGCGCATTATCAGAACTCGGTACTAAACTACACCGCTCCGGTTTTGAATTACTGTACCATCACACTTGAATAGGATTCAAACGGTAGCCGATGGAACCTTAAGAAGCAAACAACTGTCACTTCTCCTTAGGCTGACGTAGCCATTTATGATTTGTCTGTCTAGTAAAGGTACTTCAAGGCGCCGGTTAAACGGACAAGTCGACAGTCATTGCAACAGTTTAACGTTTACATTAGTAACATACCCGAAAATCTTCCCGGTCCAACGCCGATTACGATGATTGAAATTGGAAGGAAGGATGTCTGTTGAAGAAGAAATGCAGCTACGCCAATATAGACGGAAACACAAGTTCAAACTAATGTTGATTTACGAATAAGATGGATATTTGTGATTGGCTTTCGGAATGGAAAGATGTGAATCAGTGTAATTAAGGAATGAACCCAAAAAATTACAACAGATTTTCCGACCACAATTCTTAAACGATTTTTTCTATAATCTAATGGCTGGTTTCTCTTTCTTAGTTGCAGTTGACTCCAGTAGAGTTTCGCCAGTGCAGTTGTAGAGACGCATAATCGCTGGGATTCATGCGAATTATGATGAAAGGAATCAGTTACGCTAAATAATAAACTGCTTCATTTATGCTAGCAGAAATAGTATGCATATTAAGCTAAAGGAAACCATTAACAGAATTACTGTAAAAGACTGAGAAACACCTGATCGTGAAGTGTAAGCTACAGTATTTTGTGCATATAGGTTTTATATCATTGCTGTTTTCATACAATGTGTACTAAGTGATTTCCTCAGAAATATTCATATAAATCAATGGCGATCTGCAAGGTGTTAGAGCCTTCTACTTCGTATTGTGTCACCAGCAGCAAAATAAAGAAGGGCAAGGTGTATGAATAGCCACAGTGTGAACTTAACTTCCAGATACACAATCACCAGAACTGTTTCCTGATGCGTCTCGATAATTAATAAGAAGATGTCCTCTAAGTTAAAGATATGTCGGTCATTTCCAAAATTATATTCAGGTGCTGTAAACTTGTTGTTTGCAAAGAGCTTATCGGTCAATCTCGAATCTTTACGATTCGAATCATTGGACTTCACAAGGTAAGAACAGCGGACTGAATGACTGCAAAGAGTTAGGCAAACTGAGGTTTTCCAAAGTACAGTTTGTCAACTTTGATACATTCTATGCAACCGACAAGTGTGAACGCCTGTAGTGGGGAGAAATTGTTCCGATGCCAGAAGAACACAATATCTTAACAATATTTGTAAACCAGTATGAATTTATGTGTTCTTGCTTGCAAAAATTCAACGAAAGACCGGTTTTACACAGGCACGGAATTTATAGCGACAGTTCCACGGAAAGTAGTCCTCGTTACCTAAGCAGGGAAGAAAACAAGTTTATAATTTGTTTACGTCACCGACAATCTGCTCTCTCACTACTAGAAATACCTACTCGGTCTCAAGGAAATAGGTAAGTCGCCAGATTAACATCCGCTGAGCTATTCGCTAATTTCGTTCTCGTGTATTTGTACTAGTTGGCAGTAAACTTCATTACAGATAATGAAAACGGCTCACTTGTGTAAACACCAACCCAACATGATAAGTTTGTGATAGAACCAGATATCCATCTGCCAGTAACCTAATTTCCGCAATGTGATATAATTTTAGGGATTCTTTCGCTCATTTAGAATATTCGAATGAAATTTATCACGGCAAATTTTTAGGGTTACTGAGAACATGATCTCAGTTCTTCGTCGCTCAAAGTGAGTAACACATAAAGTGAAACACTTTATGTGCGGTCTTCTCAATCAAAATTGACCATCTGCACTTCAGAGTAAATCACGGAGCGACGATGAATACGTGCCACGGATAAGTGCAGCATATCAGTTACTCCTAAGCTAAATCTCTCTAATCACTTTGTTTTTAGACAGCCAAATATTGGCTTATATTTATAAAGCTGACCGGACTTATGTGTGGTGTCATTTTATGACGCAACAGGTGCATTGTCATTCTTTTTGTAGTTTTAGTTTTGCTCTCTGACCTGGATCGTAAGTCTGATATAGTGTGCTTGGAAAACATTGCAAAGTATGACAGCATCAACTGTTTGATCCAAACGGATCGATCACTAGAATATTATCAAGGGACAGGACCTTAAAGAATATGGTTTACATCCCATGACTTTGTTCACCAGGTTCATAATTTAGCATGCTGAGTACCTCCGGTCGTAAATTTTCGAGTCAACAAAGTCCGTAGGGAGTGCCAGGTGTTCCGGCAACAAATAGTTTTATTTTCAAGAATGTTTCAAACAGAATTCATTGAATCTTGCGCAGTAGTACAAAAGAATATTTACAATACACTCCTCTAAAAGCTCAACATCAAGAGAGGCAGTCACTGATAACGATGTTCAAAGAACATAGATGTAGGTTTCGTATTAGTGTTTTGAGAATATCTTGGGTCGAGGATGTTAGGTAAATTGATACAAACAGAGGAAGAGTAACAAGTAGAAAATGGGTGGACGGTTTTTCATAGAACAAAGTAATTACCAGAATCCTAGTAATATTTAGCCCCCTTTTGAAGCAATTCCTTCGTTGTAATGTAGGAAGATTACTCGGATATTCCATGTAGTACCGATAAAATGGCATCTGTTTTTACAAGGGTAATTTGGCGAGAAGTATTTCAGAGCTACCATCATCACTACGCGTTTTCATTGGGCACTTTGGAAGCGGAAATCATATTTAATATTTGTTATATTTTTCAACTGGACTGTGGTTAAGACATGCATGTATATATAAATACACATATGAAATCATATATATATATATATATATATATATATATATATAATGGCTCTATGGTTATGCTGAATCATTCATGCTTGCTGACTTGAGGATCATATTTAAAAGTGAAGACACTGCTTGTGGTTCAAGTGAACACCAAAAGAGTGGTGCTTGTTTATAGTGATGGTGGTGCACATCTAATGCCTTTCAACTAAAAAGCGCTGCAATGGCTAATACGCTAGCCTAGCGGCTCTCTAACGGGAAGAAATGAATGTTCTGCTGCGTTGGTAACTAGGTAGCTACAGATGTCCTTTGGTTTAAAGTACGGCACCCTGAACAATCAACTTCACTTTAACGTTAACTTCAAATACAAGTAACGTATCTGTTAAGATGCTGAGATAATTTAACAAAATTGGTTTGTATTATAATGTCTGCTTTTGTGATATCATCTTATCCATCCAGTTGTAGTAAATATCCCACTGGTTGCTTAAAAGTCGAACGCAAGGAAACATATATTTTCAAAAAGGTACTAAAATACTAGTGTCCGTATAAGTTGAGAAACAACTAGAAGGTTTTCAGCAATTCCTCTTCCGGCTTTTACGTGGAAAAAAACATTATGTTTGACAAAACGTAAGGGTTGCTAAGATAAATTAAGTTCACAATAACTGCTCAAGCACTAGTTCTAATCACTATGTCAGTTCGATCAGTAATTGTGAACCAAATTTATCTTAGCAATCCTTAAGATGTGTCAAACATAATGTTTTTTCCATGTACAAGCCTGAAAAGCATTTGTTGAAAACATATATTCGGTTATATTCGACATTTAACCATCTAGTTATGTCTCAATTTATACGGACAATTTAGTTTCGTAGTACCTTTTGCTCATCGGTAATTCGAGCAGTTTACCGTCTTCGGCTGACACGTCATACATTTTGGTGGGAAGATCTGTTGGTCTTACTTACATTGTTGTGAAACATGCTATTTTTATTTATTGGCGTTACTGTTATTCTTATTATCTTCAACTTATCAAACCGCGTCCTTTCCTTTTTATTTGTTGGTCACGACTAGGCTGATCTCCTGAAGCAAAGGGCTAAAGCTTTCAAGTTAAAATGTATACACATGCACTAGGTAGAGCTTCTGACTTACTGAGGTGTCATAATCAAAAGAACTGTATGATGAAATTGGTTGAAGGCTACATAGCCCAGAAGTAAGAATTAGAGATGAGTTAAAGGGTTGATGATCTACTTTCTATTACGCCACATCTGCACACCGTCAAATAGGGCATAGATGGCAGGTGAATGCTTCCGAGGAAATAGTCTGGAAGGAAGCAGATCACTTGGAGACATTTCCTCGAATGGTCGTATTAATTCACGTAAACATATGGCTATATCGGCTTTCATTATAGTGCACAGTTTTCGCAATTTTCCTAGTACATTCAATTTGTCACTCATTCCAAAACCGAACAAATGTTCTGCTTTACGCTATCACGCTTTACATTTTGATCAGATTATTCAGCTGGACTGTGCCTCACACTGTCAAGGAATATATCGTTGATGTGTTTATATATTTACAGTAGTGCCTTCACAATTATCCGTTGTGTAAGTAAGTTCATTCGTAATTCTAATGCGTCGCTTTAGAAATAATGACAAAAGTTCAACGAAGTGGACTCAAAATGAGAAGTAACAGGCGTGATTATATCGCTTAATTTGTTGATTCTAAAACAAGTGGTTGTGTGTAAACAGTCATTTCAAATGGCACGCTACTGAGTAAAAGTCGCTCATTGTTTATGAATATTTGTTTAAATGCTGTGTTCACAGTGTGTTACTTTGTCTGAGTCAATAGACTCAGACAAAGTAACACCTTCCGTGCAACTGACTGTACGGGGGCATTTAACTGGATGAGTACAATCGATGCTTGGGCACTTAGGTTTTTGACTGCTTGCAACATTTGCTTAGTTCTGTTGCGCATTGCTTGCAGTGGTAATTCCTGTCAAATACGATAGGTTCTAGCCTCTAGCGTATTTTACATTTTCTGGGTTTTACATGCGGCAAATAGATGGAAGTGTACAACACACATAAGTTTAGAGTCTCGTAAAAACCAGTGTGGAGAAGGAATCAAAATCATTTTAGTGTAGAAAAAACAATCTTGTGCTCACTTCAATCACTGCTTTCTTTGTCTCTACCCAATCATCAACGGTTCCATTGGTGAGTATTAGTAAAACGTAATAGTTTTCTGAACCGTTGCTTTGTTTGGCAGATCTGCAATGCATCATAATTGGAATTTACGAGGTGCTCACCGTGTAAACTCCGATGGACTGCTAATACAGGTTGCAAGTAGATTCGTCAAAGTTAGACTTTTAATAACCAAGACGTCTATGGAGATTGGTAAAATGACCATTGATAATAAACAAATGCTCAAATTTGCTTAGAGTTAAAATGCATTTAAGTTGAAATCATCGTAATTTATGCAATCATGCAGTAAGTAATATCATCTGAATTGAAGAGGGAAATATAACCGTAGAGCTGCTCCTTTCGGTATTGTTCCATTTAATTGTCAGACATGGTTAGTACCATGTTAAACACGGTGCTACGAAATGTGGTCATGTGACGTTAAGGTGAAAAATTCCGCAAACCTATTCCCATGGCTGAATGTGCAGCCAAGTAAACTTTAGCAAGTTAAGTTGCGGGTTGTGTTTTCAAGTCTCCGAGAATTGCGAAAATGTTTTTCACTTGTAGCCTTAGATTGAATCCGATGTCTACTGCTTAGATTTACGCAAACACTGCATTTATTTTCCCGAAATATTTTGCGCCCTAGCACTATTTCAACCATTCTGTGGGTCTGCAATGCTGAACTACAGGCCAAAACTGTCCAGCCTTGAAAGTAAAACTGATCAAATGTCTTCCGGACAGAATAACCTTACTGGCTAATATTCCTGGCAACTAACTACTTATTAGAAGAACCTGTCATTATGCCATAGGGGACAGAGTACCATCTATACAACAAACGACTGATAATAATGACCTAGCACTGCGTGGTCCCGTTGTTGCGAACGCAATTCATTGGCGCGGAAGATATTTTTGTTACCTGATAAACTGCGTTGCATTTTCTGACGAACTCCTATTGGCTAATGTATGAGATTGTCTACCTTGATGCATTCGCTTTCCTGGTGCTTACGGAGGCTGGTTGGAATTGGAACTTTATGGAGAAAAAAGGCGTTGATCCCGGTTTAATATTTCAAAATGAGTGGTTGATTCGAAGTCCCCCAGTGGCCGCCTAAAATATATATAGTTTTGGACATCTGAACTGGTATATGTTTTGCCTGGAAGCTGTAGTTCCTATATTAACAAGGCAACACGTTCAACCATTATACTTAACCTATTTTGATCGAATGGAGCAGGTATGGTAACTGCGACGTTGATCTGATTCAGCCTTTGATTTCACTAGCTATACTAACCCATCGTTGGCACGGTGTGTACTTGAATACGCATATAATGCTGCAAGATAGCTGACTCAAATGGCTTCCATAGTTAATGATTGCGATTAAACCCAGTAATGTAAACCAGATAGTGTTTTGAAAGGCCGCCTACTAATAAACAAATTTCACCGAGTGACGTGAGAAGTTAGTGAGATTCGTAGCTCTGGGAACAAGTCCTCTTCTCTGGAAGACGATAATGAAAATGCAGGTGTCCAGCTAGATGATGACCTATAGTCAACATGTGGTAGACATCCCTGTCACACATGAACCTTGGCAAAAGTCACTGTCCCGTTGGAAAACAAACACATCAACAGTCTGACTGGAAGGCCATTTTGGAGCATATGTGGTGTGTTTTCGGGTGGGTAACACAATTTTCATCTGCTTCAGCTACGGTCCCAGTGATCGCAGTGACCAACGTTCACTTCAATGTGAATCGCGATCTACATCGAGATTGGGCGTCGCAACCCAATCACACAACGTGCGCTTCAACTGGTCCTACACGTTGTGTCATTAGATTGCGTCGCACAATCTCAACGTCTACCGCGATTCATACTGAAGTGAATCTTGGTCAGTGCCATCACTGCGACCGTAGCCAATTGTTTGCATTTCTGACTACAAAAAATATGAATGTAAGTTAAACACAGTAAACCCTCCATAGGTTGACCACTTAAGGAATCAGACGAAAGTAGTCAGAAAGGAGAAGTGTTCAATCAACATTATGCTGGATCCATAAAGCCTACACAGTGACGCACAATTGGTAAAAGCACGCTAAAATTAGAGAAGTGGCCAAAATATAGAGGTGGTCAACTTTGGAAGTTTTACTGTATGACAAAATTCACGCAATACTCGCTCATCTTAAAATTGAAACGAGTGTAAATGGCACATTGTTACTATCCAGATGTTAATTAACTATTTGAAATAGGTTGATTGCAGTGGGTCTTTACGAAATGTGATTTGCGTGTTTAGGCCTTCAGGCCAATTTTGTGTTGACTTGCGTACTTGATCTACGTAGATATCAGGTTCAGTTACGACATGGATACTTGCAGTGAACCACTTCACTTGCGTAGAAGATACGAAGGCAATCAAGAAGAAATATAGGCTCTTGTCCTGTAACGATGGCAAAGAAGACCTTGCATGAGCACACACTGAACATTGAATATTCCCTTTTACATAGCTTGGACAAAAACATCTGTGTTTCTTCATTGATATAATGTAGGGCAGGCACACGGTAAAACGTCAGTTAATTTTGCGCACTGTCAAAATAGTTCCCATGTGCCACCTCCTATTCAGGTGTGATGTCCTCTCGAAATAACTAATCGATGTTTAGCGTCTAGAAGTTTCTTCAATTCCGACGCATTAACTACTTTCTCCAACAAATTGCTTCATTAACGCACCATCCGACACTGAAGCAAAGTGGGTGAGCCATCAGCTACATTTCTGGTACCAGAAGCTTGTACCGTTGCCTGCGGCTATTGCTTGATGCGAGCACGTGCAGAAGCAACCTATGCGCGTGGAATCCATCTAGAAGTAATATCCTTACGCCGTTATGATTTTCACTAGAAAATGACTACCTGTGAAGATGAACAATGAACAATTATTTAAAAAGGGGGAAAATAGCAGGTGCTTGCCATGTTCCGCGGGGTGATAAAGTGTGAAAAGATAGATCAAGGGATAATGGAATCGTCGGTTCGGGCGATTACAGATTTAACTGCACGGCCGTATAAAGGAAGTTTGAAATTAGGATGTGCGCATACAAAGCAATAAGGGGAGTGGACGTTTATTACGTAAGAAGGGAGAAAATAATAAAAAAATAGTAAGGACAGCGCTTGCTCGTGTACAGCTATCTCGGGGCGACAAGATGCAGAAATCCGCTTTCTACAGTAGTAGCGTTTGTCAAACTGTGTGCAAGGGCTTTGGAGAGACTCATTATCGAGTAGGGTTATGGCACTATCCACTGTTTGTTGTGCGTTAGTGCCTGCATCTGGTGGTCATGGGCTATATCAAGTAATGTAAATGTGACAGAATATCGTCAAGGCCTTTTCTGAAAAGGGATAGGGTGGGAGAATTAATTACGTGTTCCAGAAGGGCGTTCCAAAGCTGTGCCACTCGAAGGGAGAAATAGTTTCGCCGACATTCCAGTCGGTTGTATTGAGTGACCAGCTTAAACTGATGACGTCTTAGCGGGGTGCTTTGACTGAATATCAGAAGGGAAGGGCATGAGAGGGTGGGGTTTCTCAGGATCTGGTACACCATTATGAGATCGCCCCTTAGACGCCGATAATGTCCATTGTATATTTTGTGAGTCTTCAGCCTGAGTGTGTTGGGGAGGCTGGCCAAACCTCTGACATTCTTCGTTGCCCTAGGTTGTGGAGTATCGAGCGCGGTGTGATGGTGCTTGAGGCAGGGTTACCACGCTTGAATAGCGTATTCTGCGTGCGGCCACACGTACGCACTAAGCATTTTTGGAAAGACTGAAGGGTCAAACTCAGCGAAAGCTCTGCGAAGAAGGCCGAGGTACTGGTTTGCTTTCTTAGATGCCTTTTCAGTCTGTCTGAAACAAGTGAGGCCATCATGAACTAGCACACCAAGACCACAGTCATGAGGAGCCCGCTGTAGAATCTTTGGTCCTAGGCGATACTCGTGCGCACTCTTATGCCGTATGCTGAGAACTTTGCACTTGCTGACGTTGAAATGCAGCATGTTCTCGATGGACTATGTGTACGCGTTGTCCAGGTCCTCCTGTAACGCTGTGTGGTCCTCCACTGCAGCTATAGCACGCCATACCTTTAGATCATTAGCAAATTACAAACATTTAGAAGATAGCACGCTCGCGAGATCATTTATGAAAACCAGGAACAGAGGGGCCTAAGTACCGAGACATGAGGTACGCCGCACTGAACTTAAGTGGATTCCAATAGGATGCTTCCAAACCTCACAATCAGGTGAGGTTGCACGAGAAAGTCTCATATCCAGCCCAGAACAGCATCGCCGATTCCATATTTCTCCATTTTGTGGAGGAGAATGCGATGGTCTAGACGATTGTATGCCTTGGAGAAATCCAGGTAGGCAGCGTCGACTTTCACACCAACGTCTACAGATTCCGTCCAGCTCGCACAAGCAATCAAAAGATTAGTGGTACAGGAGCGATGTTGGCGAAATCCATCCTGCTCCGGAACGAGAATTTGTTGTTCGCAAGGTACCCCATCAAAGTCTCAGCTACAATGTTCTCCATAACGTTGGAGATCACAGGAAGTAGCATTATCGGGCTATAATTTGCTGGTTCAGCCCGACTGCCACTTTTGTAGATTGGCGTAATGATTCCGTGCTTCCACACCGTGGGGACATGCATCTCGTTCAGACATCGTTGAAAGAAAATTGCTAGTGGTCCTGCTAAACATATGGCAGCAACTTTCAACGCTTTCGGGCGAATGTCGTCCGCACCCGGGGAGCTGAACTCGCGCAGAGACATCAGTCTCTTCAGTACAGCTGCGGAGGTAAACGATATGTGACTTATCCCTGATGGCGGCGTTATCTGCTTAGACAGGATGCATGATGATAGCACGCTTTGGAAGGTACGAAGAACATTGACCGCCTCTTGTGCGGTTTGGGCTAACCCGCGTGCTGTGTGCAGAGTAGGAATATCGCGTTTAACATGGCTCAAATTGTTTACGTGTCTGTATAGCAGTTTAGGATTGGAGCAAAACTTTTCCACTAGACCTTGTTTGTTCGTCAGTTTATCCTATATGGCAATTTTGGCAAAGTGGTTCCTTTGTACTGTGTAGA